ACACACACACACACACACACACACACACACACACACACACACACAGACACACAGACACACACACACACACAGACACACACACACACACACACACATACACATACACAGCAAACTTCTTGTCATATGTCTCACAGGCACTGGCAGTCGCATTCACGGCTTGCTGTCCATGTGTTGTGGAGCAAAGTTATGTTTAAAACAGAAGCACCTGCCAAACCTGTGGTGAAACCACTATTGCCGATGAGATACTGTGTAACACCATTTGGGCCTACTGAGAAGGTAGAGGCTTTTCTATAGTAATCTTCTCTGTTGCACTGTTTTTTGTCTTGACCACAGAAGCTAAGCATCAGAACTTATGAATAAAAATATATTTTCTCTTCCTCTAAAAAACTAAAATTTTCAGAAGCAGCTCTTTTTTAAATCTTGAATAGCTATCTTTTGATAGCACCATTCAGCAATTATGATGTTGGAATTTTAGCAGAACTATCAAATCCACAATTGTTCTCAGATCAAGATGTTTAAATTAGAAGTTTTTTTGTTTGTTTGTGTTTTGGTGAGGCAGCTTTTTTCTCCCATTGAGTGTAAGCGAATATGTTCATATGTAAAATATGTTTTGCCAAGTGTGGACAATTTAAAAATATTTACATACTCAACACGTATTCTTTCTAAAATTATTTCTGTAAAACACAAAGTGTGCTACCTTACACAGGTGAGTTGACTTACTGTTTAATGATTTGGACTTAGACAATTTGGCCCTCACATGAGCGTAAACCAGAAGCATTTAAAAACACATGAAATGTTTTGGTTTCATACTTGAACAGTTTGTATGGTTGTGTGTTTTTATTTTTAGTTCTTATTTGACAGTGTACTTTTATTGTTTTAAATATGTCTTCTTTTACCTGTTTAATTTTTTTATCATTTATCATTATAAAGTTTGATAAAATACTTCTTTCCGGAATAGATCATTTCAAAAGGAATCCAATAATGATAGACTTTAAAATATACTTTTAGTTGTGTTTAACTTGTTTAATAAATAACTCTTAAATTGATCATGCTGCTGTTGTATCTTTTTATATCTTTCGATACCTTTCTTTGTGTGTGTATATATATAGATAATATACCTATCCATGAAGTTTGAGGAGAGCTTTTTGGATAGGTGGGATTTGAGTGACCCTATTAGAAAAAGTGATTTCAGTAGGCAGAGATGGGGTAGAAGTTCTCTGGGCAGAGGAAATAGTGTCTTCAAGGTATGGAGGAAAGCAAGTACATGCTTAGAAATTAGAAAGCAATGCCACTGGCCTGGAGTATAAGGTGCAAAGAAAATGTGAGCAGATGTTGAAGAGCTTAAATGGCAGTTATTTAAAGATTTCAGTTAAGTGAGTGTTGGCCAACTGATATAATGTTTGGAAAATGGAATATTTTTTATTAGAGTGTGCAGTGATACCAAATATAAAATTCTAAACTTTGAAAATAAAAAGGGCACATTTCAAAATACTTATTTGTGTTGTAGGAAGACAGTGGCAAGTTACAGCTATCTACCAAAATTTCTACCCCTCTTGCATGTTAAACATTATCCTAGGAGCTGTATGTTATTTCTCAGTTGGATGTTTCTTATGAGAAACATTTTATGGTGAGCTCTCAATTATTTAAGCTGATGATTAGGAGCAGATCGTGCAAAAGTTCAGATTTTTAGTACATTTTTAAGTTATTATATTTTTTAAATAGGTAATTGCAATACAAAGTTCAGGTGTAAGTCTCCCCAGTCCACTTTCCCAGAGGCAGTCTTTGTTGCCAGTGTTGCATATATCATTCCAGAGCTAGTCTACGCATACCTTCATATGTTACATATGTATTTATACAGTATATCCATTTCTTACACAAATAATAGTATATGATACATGTAGAAATAATATTTTATTTTTAAAGTTTTATTTTGCAGATTTATATCCTTTAGCCTACTAAAATCCATCTGGAATTCATTTTGACAGAAGTTAAGTATGCAGCTTTTTTTTTTCATTCCAGGTTGCCACCCAGTTGTCCCAACATCATGTATTTAAAACTCCATCTTTTCTCTCTAAATTTTAAGTATTATATACAATAAATGAAGAGGTGAAGAGCTCTTCAAGTTGCTTTCTTTGATTGTCTTAAGAAAAATCTTGGTTGCTTCTTTGACAGCATTTTTTTTTTGCAAACACAATTTTTGTGATAGTACCACATTTTCTGTGTGATTTACTATTTCATTAGAACTTTTCCCCTCTGTGCAATCTTAAAAAACAAACAAAAAAAATTACGGTATTTTACAGTGGAACCTGTGAGAGCCAGAACTCAACGGGACTGCTTTGTTTTTCCGGGTCTCCAAAGTTTTCCGCCTTTGACATGTTGCAGTCTTACCACTTTTTTTTAATCACTTTTTTAGTGGAGAATATTTGAATTTTCCTTCTCTGACAAGATTCCACCTTACACAGGTTCTAGTTTTCACAGGTTTTACTGTAATTGACTTTCTTTGTAATGTGATGAGGCCTGATATTTAATTTTTGCGTATGTATGAGACAGCAAAATCAGGGTAGATGCAATTTTATTTGCAAATACTTTTCAAACAGCTTTGCAGTTGTGTGTGTAGTGTTTTCAAGTGACTGATGGCAGGAAACTAAGTAGTCATCACTTGTTTAGACTGCGCAGTAGGGGCATAATTCACATTTTAGGCAAGACAATTATTTCTTGTGTAGGACTATCCCATGCATTACTGGACATTTATCATCCTTAATCTCTGCCCACCTAATGCCAGTGACATGCCCAATCATTGCAATAATGACGAACTCCCCACCTTTCTCCATATTGCCCCCTGCAGGTTGGTACTGCTCAAGGTTGAGAACCTTTGAACTCAGAGTATTCTCTCCAGACCCTCATTACTATCCTCAGCTTACAAGACAGAAGATTCCTAAATTTCTCTACTTAAAATTGGACAAAAAATTTCCATTCCAGAAAACAAAACAAAACCTTACGTTTCTAATAATAGCTGCCAGTCACTGAGCATCTACCATGTAGCTGGCACTGTGCTCCACACTTTATATACAGTTTCTTGTATATACTCACTGCATCATGTGAAATGAGTGTCAGTATCTTCATTTTACAGATATGGAAACTACTAAGTGCATAATATGTGACTAGTATTTATCATCAAATGTTACGTATATTGTTTGTGCTAGGCACCCAGATAAATCCATGAGTAAGACAGGCAAACTTTTTGTCCTCAGTGAACTTAAGGTTGCATGGCTAAGTAAGTGGAAGAGTCAAGATTTTAATCCAGGTCAGTTATTTCTAGAACACCACACTGCCTCCCATTTCTGTCTCTACCTGTACCCAGATTATCTTCTTGAAGAATAATCATTAAAATTAATCATAATTAATATACTGTAAACATATTTAGCATGTCTACCACTCTGAGTCGGAATCAACTCGACAGTAACAACCACCACCACTGTGTAGTAACCTCTCTGGTTTTTCTCCTCCCCAGAATGCTGGAGAGTTACATGAACAGTGCTCTCCAGCCTAGTGTAGTGCACAGCCTGAATGGCCAGAGTAAGCAAGAACTCTGCCTCTGCCTGGAATGCCTTCCCCTTCCCCATCGTCCTGCCTTTAGAAGTTGTGTCTTGTATCGAGACAGCTCAAATGCCTACTCTTAACGTGGGTTTTTCAGGTTCCAACCAACCAATCATCTTCTCTTCCATTCATCTTTACAGTATTTTTGAATGCCCACTATTTTTCTGTGTTCTATCTAGGTCCTAGGATAAAATGGTCAATAAGACAGACAGTCCCTGACCTCAAGAATCACACCACTCAGAATTAATCCTTTCATTTTCCCTTTTCCCATTGTATATATAACTCTTACAGTGCTCACTGCAGTTTATTAGGTACTGTTGTGTTCTTTAGCGTTTTTACTCTATGGGATTTGCTCGGAACATTGTTTTGGAGTAACACTGATGCCCATTTACTTCAGTGGAATTCTTGATTGGTGTGATAGTTGCAAGTTTGCATGGTGGTGTGTAGGCTGATTTGCAGAGTTTTATAGAAAGGAGCATTGCAAAAGGAAAATTGTTTTATTTTCCTGCTCTCAAGCATTGAGAAACAGTGAGCTCTAGAAGACTTTTACTTTTTGCAACAGGGATTATCTACTTACCTATGCTGGATATTCTGTGTAACATGCCGTGTTAAATAGGAATATAGCAGAGAAAAAAGAAGGGGGCTCAGCAAATGAGGAGGGCCGAGAAGGGGTAGTTACCATGTTGTTATTTCTCAAGATAAATGTTTACCCCAAAAACATGTTACTTGGGTGTGTGGCAATTTTTCCCACTTAATTATGAGTCACTGAGGGCAAGGATCATTCCATTATCCTGTTTATGATGCGTATTCTCCCTTAACCATCACGTGTCACTGAAAGTCACTGCACTTAACACAGGCTCGGTTGTTACTGAATTAAATATGAAAGTAGAAGGTGATGTTGTTATTGGCCAGAGAGTAAAGATAAAAATTGCAGAAAGATCATGGTTCTGGAAATCAGGAGACTTGGGTTTTACGTCCCAACTTTGTGAATGCCCAGTGCATGGCCTCAAATAAATAACAACCTCACCAGGTCTGGTTTCCTGGTGAAATGAGAGGATTAGGTAAGATTGTCTCTTAGTTTCTTACCAGCTTCCAAACTCCTGTGATGATTCTGTTACCGACATATAGTAAACATATAGAGAAGATACACATTGTATAAGAAAATCTAGGTTATAAAGTCCTTTTAGTTTTAAGTATGGGCAGTCTTGGTAGGTTTTATTTGAATTTTCTAAAAAGAACTTACATTTTAGGCTCAGATTGTCTGCATATGCTCAGCGCATACGCATAATGCATTGTA